AGCCATTTTACAAGAGAGGTGGAAATAAACATAAAGGAATTTCTTTGGCTATTCTCAAAAGCGCTTATTATTAACAAGATGGTATAGAATAAAATTATAATGAATCATTCTTCTCTGCTACAATAACTAAGCTTATTACTCTACTATAGGAGTAAATGTTTGGCCATTTAAAATTAAACTATTAATCACCTGTGTCTTTTCTTCCCATGGGGGGTCAGCTCTTTGTTCTGCTTTTGGGAAAGGGCTTATCTATGTCCTTGAAACTGTGCATACACTCAGTGTGAGATTACCAAGTACATGTTGAGAAAGGGGGTGAAAGTAAGATCTTTGCACACCAATGACAACCTCTCCCTCACCCAGGAAAGAGCTTCAGTTCGCAGCTCTAACAGCCCCCTCTTGTGACTGTACTTATGAACTCCTTCACTTAGAACCAGAAACCAAGTCAGTCAGCCATCTTTCACGGGTTTTGTGTCAGGACTGAGGATAAATGTCTCAAAAATTTGCTACCTCCCTCTAGTGGCAAAGCTTGGTGAAGAGCTTCCTACAGAAATACTCTACGATTAAGGATTGAATTATGTTCAGTTACTTGGAAATTTTAGAACTATTTCTGTGAGAACAAATCACTCAATAAAATTCCTTTTATTTTCCTTATTATCTTGTTCTTCCCAAGTTTGAAGGCATTTCCCAAAGCCCACATTATTCATTGTTTAACATAGAATTTGGCACAGACTAAGCACTTAATAATAATGTGTTGGGTGAACGTATTAATTAATATTTGCTGGGAGAAGTTATATGAAATGACTTGAATTTATTCTGTGTAAAAGCTTCTAATTTTCTGGAAAACAAATTGAACAAAAGTATCCAGCAGTGAAGGTAAATGCAAGATTAGACCAGTGGACAAAATTCAAATAGACGGCACACCAACTCTCACCACCCTTTCTCTAAAAAAAAATTCACAAATCTGGAATAGAGAAAGCCTGGTTCTGAGAATATGGCAGTCTATGGCTTAGTGGTCATGTAGTCATAATTAATTTAATAAGTACTCAATGTGCATCTATTATTGCCAGATTATAAAGTAACAATAGTAATTCAAGACTGCAGTAAATATATAAATGAAAGAAATACTGGGATTCCTAAAAGAAATATGAAAAGTAAGAGTCATTATGCCCTCTCGTTATATAATGCAACAGTGAGACCAACAATACAACTGTCGAGTGGTCATTACTGCAGCGTTTGGATGGTGAGGAGCATCCAGTCCGACTCCAGAGAATAATACATATTGTGGTACTTTTTGGTTTTGTTTGTCTTTATATAACAGCTTCATTGAGATATAATAGACACAGACAATTCACCCATTTAAAGCATACAATTCAATGGTTTTTAGTATATTTGCAGAGTTGTGCAACCACCACCATAATCGACTTTAGAACATTTCATGATCCCCAAAAGGAACATGTACCCTTAGCTGTCACTTATCATTTCCCCACATGAAACTCCTTCTAGGCGACCACTAATCCACTTTGTCTCTGACTTAGTGCGCTCAGTTTCCTATAACAAATTACCACAGACTGGGTAGGTTATAAACAACAGAAATTTACCTCTCACAGTTCTGGAGGCTGGAAAGTCCAAGATCAGCAACAACAGATTTGATGCCTAGTGAGGACTCACTTTTGGGTTTATAGATGGTGCCCCTCTGCTGTGTCCTCACGTGGTGGAAGGGGCAAGGGATCACTCTGGAGCCTCTTTTATAAAATCCTTAATCCCAAATTCCCCACCTATTCATATGGTCACCTTTCGAAGTTAGGATTCAACTTACGAATTTTGGGGGAACACAATCATTCAGACCATAGCAGTCTCTATATATTTTCTCATTCTGGACATATCATATAAATGGAATATACAATATACAATATATGACTTCTTGGATGGGCTTTTTTTTCACTTACCATAATGTTTTCAAGGTTCATCCATGTTGTTGCATGTGTCAGTAATTCATTACTTTTTATTGCCTGATAATGTTCCATTGTATGGATATAGTATATTTCATTTGTCAGTTCAACAGTTGACGGACATTTGGGTTGTTTCCACTTTTTGGCTATGAACATTCTTAATAAGCTTATGTGTGGACATATGTTTTCATTGCTCTTGGGTATTTGCCCAGGAGTAGAATTGCTAGATAATATGATACCTCTATATTTAATGGTTTCCGCAACTTTTAGATTATTTCTCAAAGTGGCTGAACCATTTTACACACTTATAAAAGTCACAGAAGATTCAATTTCTTTACATTCTCACCAACACTTTCTGATTTTTTGTCTTTTTGATTAAGCCACCTTACTGGCTGTGAAGTAGTATTTTCGTGTTGTTTTGATTAGTATTTCCTTGATAGCTACCGGTCTTCAGCAGCTTTTCATGTGCTTATGGGCCATTTGCATATCTTCTTTGGAGAAAATCTACTGGAATATTTGGTTCATTTAAAATTGAATTTCGACTTTTTATTGTTGAGTTGTGAGAGTTCTTTATCTGTTCTAGACATAAGTCCCTTATTAGACATATGATTTGCAAATATTTTCTCCATTTTGTGGGCTGTCTTTTCACTCTCTCGATTGTGTTCTTTGAAGCACAGAAGTTTTAATTTGATGAAATCCAATTCATCCATTTTATCTTTTGTCACTTGTGCTTTTGGTGTCGTATCTAAGAAGGCTTTGCCTAACTCAAGGTCACAACGATTTACTTCTATGTTTCTTCTAAGTGTTTTGTAGTTTTAGATCTTATATTTGGATATTTGATTCATTTGGAGTTAATTTTTTGTCATGGTATAAAGAAGGAGTACAACTTTATTCTTTTATATGTGGTTCTGCAGTTGTTGAAAACACTATTCTTTCCCCTCTCAAAAATCAATTGACCATAAGTGTATGGGTTTATCTTGCAGCACTAAATTCTATCCCATTGATCTATATGTCTATCCGTACTGAATCGTTAAGTATGAACAGCTTCAAATTGAGAAGTCAGTACACTGTTTAATAGAAATAGTGCTATTTGGCTTCCTTGCAAGAAGGCGTTAACATTTCACCATGAAGTTTGGTGTTTGCTTTATGTTTGTAGCAAACACCCTCAAACAGAATGAGGAATTTTTTCTTTTATTTGTAATTTGCTAGGAATTTATTTCTTTATTATGAATGAGTGTTTATTATACGTCAGATGCTTTTGTGTAACTATTGAGATGATGAAATTCTGATTTTTATTAGTGTGGATGACTCCTTTGACCAATATAAAATGTTTAATAAACATTACATAAAACCCAACTTGGTTGTGATATATTATCCTTTTATATAAACTGCTAATTCTTTTTGCTGATATTTTGTTTAGAAGTTTTGAATTTATGTCCATTGAGTGGGGCTATCTTATATGTTTTCTTTAAATTTCTTTATTCAGGTTTTAGCATCAAGTTTGTGCTGTCATTGTTAAATGTGTCCTCTTTTTTTCCTGTATTTAAGTAAGTTTGGCACACTAGTCATGTTACGATAGGTTATGCTGTCATAATAATCAATAATCAACTCCAAAATCAATGGCTTGAAGAAATAGTTTATTTCTTTCACATTCATAGTTCATTTTGAATCAAGGCAATTCTCCAGGTCAAATGTACAACAAGTAATGACTAACATTTAAACCTCCAGATCAATACACAATTCAGGGGCTGGCCGGATGGCTGAGTGGTGAAGTTTGTGCACTCTGTTTCAGAGGCCTGGGATTAGCAGGTTTTGATCCCAGGTGCGGACATACGCATTGCTCATCAAGCCAGACTGTGGCGGCATCCCACGTAGAAGTAAAATGACCTATAACTAGGATATACAACTGGGCTTTAGGGGGAAAAAAAGAGGAAGATTGGAAATAGATGTTAACTCAGGGCCAATCTCCTCAATAAATAAATAAATAAATAAATAAATAAATAAAATTCACAATTCAACCGTCACCACAATCTGAGAAAGCAGAGGTTGAAAGTTGAGCTCGGCAATTGAATGTCTCTGTCATGAAGTGACACGTGCCATTTCTACTCACCTTTCTTTGACCAAAGCAAGTCATACGGCCATCTCCACCTTCAGGAGGTACACAGTGCTCCTGGGTTGCTGGAAGGAGAGGGGAACCGGATGTTGCTGAGCAGTCCATGCTCAGCCTTTGGACTTGCAACCAAGAACTCGTTTCCTCTCTTCTCCCCATGCGGGAGACAAGTACTCCTTCTCCAAGGGAGACAACTTAGGATCCCCTATCAGTGACGCTGATCAAAGGTAGGATGTCTGATTGATCTATAGTCTTCCTCTGGTCTCGATGTGACTACTCTTGGTCTAAAGATCTATGAAGAAAAACAGGTAGAAAACAACCAAAAAAAATAAACAAAAACAAGTAAACTATCTCCTCCATACACTGAATGCGCAATTGTGGAAGAGTTACAGAATTATGTCATACAAGATTCTCTTGCAAAGAGAAAAAAGAGAGACACACAGTGTTGGTTTGAAAATAGTGTGTGGTCTCAGGAGGCATAATTATTGCCTTCCTTAGCCTATGATGAGACTCTGACTGTGCTGCGTGCAAGGAGCTTTTTGCTCATTGTTTTTCACATTCTCTGGCTCAGCCCTCAGGAATATTCTTCTTCCGTTATCTTCTTTGGGCACATTTAAAGGGCTATCCCTTCCTTGTGGAAGGATTTCTCAGCCCATTCTCTGCTTGAGTTTCTTAAGAGCTAAGGAATTACTTTGGATCTCTAATGATCATAGTTTGTTTTAGTCCAAACTGCTTTTGGCCATACAGCTCTTTCAAAAGATTAGTTGCCTTCTTATCTATTTGATCCAAGTAAGAGTCATATATTCATGCTTACAAAATACACAAAAATAAACTTTTATATTTTTAAAATTTAAGTAGACATAAATAAATATATAAATTAATAAAATGTATTATTGTATTTGAAAGAACTGTAAAAATCAGCATGATATTGGAAGAGAAAATGAATGGTTTTTAGTACTCTGTCAGATCTGAAGATCCAACCATTCAGGATGATAATTAGAAAACTACTCCTGATTTTCCTGAAATAAATGGGTTCATTCAATCTAGCTGTTTAGGAATAAGTTGAAAAGCACTTTGTAATTTATTTTAACCCAAGATACAAACATAATACCTGGGAATCTCAGGGAAGAAGGCTGTTTTATACACGGAACTCAAATATGGGAACATTTTTTATAGAAAAAGAGTTTACATTAGAAGGTCTCAGCTGTGCTTCCACAATGCCTGGCTTCTTCCTGTCTGTGGTTCATGGGTTTTCCCCAAGCCTCTGAGCAGGTGGCTGCCTTTATGGAGCTCTAAGGTTTTTGATTACCTTCCCCCATCATTTCTATTACTGTGGGAGCCCAGAGAGCACAGAAGTAGACCCCTGAGTCTGACAGTTGTAAGGAAGAGATGGTGAGGCTGATGAATTTTTCTGCTCTTTGAAAGTTCACAGAGAAGCGATCCTGCTTTACATCTGGCTTCGAATGATCCTGATGAATAAGATAAGCCATCTCTCCACTGGGAGGCTGTTTGTACCAGAACAAAGTATAATAATTGCTCCAACTGGTTTCATACTTCCACCCCATGGTCACAGCTTCTCCTTCATTCCTTGTTATTATAGTCTGAGCTGGGGTTACTTTCTGAGCCATGCTGGATCCTGTGGAAAAGGAGAAGACAGGGTTTGTCCTCTGAAATGTCTCAGATGGGCCATGAGGACTAGATTCATTTATGATACAAAGACAAAGTAAAGAATCACATAGAGTTTCATTTCCCCACCACTATTCTCTCTTAATACTCCCATCAGTTAAAACTTACATAGTCCCTTCCTTGAGCTCTAAGAGGAAGCTGAGGCCCCATGTTTAGGGCCACACTTACTGAAGCCAAAGGAGGCCAAGAATGCCCACAGCAGACCAGGGCAGAGCATGATAGAAATTCTTCTCCTGGTTGAAATTTCTGTTGTTCTCACTCAAGCCCAGAGACCAGCCTTTCTCTGAGTGCCTGAGTGCTGAGTTTCTGGGGCTTTTAGAAGTTTCTGCCCCCAAACAGGAAGCAAAGTTTCTGTAAGCAGGATGTTACACTGCCCTATTCAGAGACTGGAACATCTGCTCTAACCCAAACCTCTGTCTTGTCTGTTTTTTCTGAGGCAAGACATTTGAAAAATGACTATTATATCTAGCAAGGTACAGGAATGAAGTTTAATTATCTTTCTGTTATTGAATTCTCACTTAATACCACTGTGATCAGCGACTATATTCTGAGTGATTGAAATCTTTTGAAATTGAGTAAGGCTTGCTTTAAGATCCAGAACAGAGTCAACTTTGATAAATATCCAGAAGGCATTTGAAAAGAATATGTATCCTGTTGTTTGTGGATAAAGTGTTCTATATATGTAAACTAGACAAAAATATTGGTTTTGCTGGTTATAGTTTCTCTTTGTTTTTACTCATAGTTGTATGTTAATGCTTGCCACTATGGTTCTATATTTGTTTATTGATTTTTTTAAATCAATAAATTCTACTGGTTTAATTCTACTGTTTAACTCTACTGATGTAAGTTTGATATATTTTGAAGCTATTAGGTGCATTAAAAATAGAATTATTCTATCTTCCTGGTAGATTGAGCATTTAATTATTTTGAAGTGCACTAGTAATAATTCCTAGTTTAATGTTTACTTTATCTGATACTAGTATAGCTACTCACTCTTCTTTTGGTTAGTTACTCCAAATGTCTTCTTATCTATATGCAAAAGACTGAAGCTGTATCTCTACCTCACACCATATTAAAAATTAACTTGAAATGGATCAACGACCTCAATGTAAAAATTAAAACTTTAAAACTCTTAGACAAAAACACAGATGTTAACCTTTGTGACCTTGGATTAGGCCACGTTTTTAAAATATGGCATCAAAGCTCAAGTACTAAAAAACCCCAAATAGTTAAATTAGACTTTATCAAAATTAAAAACTCTTGTGCATCAAAAGATACTATTAAGAAAGTGAAAAACACAACCCATGGAAGAGGGGAAACTATTTGTAAATCACATATCTGTTAAGGGTCAGGTATCCAGAATATATAAAGAAGTCTTACAATTCAACAATAAAAAGACCCACAGCTCAAGGAAAATTTTAATTTTAACAGTGGTTTTATGGGCTTCTGGGGATAGGAGGGAAAAGGTGAAAGGAAATGTCACTTTCCACTATATATTCTTTTGTGTAATGTTTACTTTACACTGTGGGTGTTTATTAGCTATTCAAAAATCCAGGAATAATTTGTATTAAAAATATTTTCACTACTCTTAGCACTCTTTTATAAAGATTAATTATTTTTTGTCTTATAAAGGAGTTGGTAAGCCTTTTTTCTCTAATTTGAACCTTTTGTTGAAATAGCTATTATTTTTCTTTCCTGTAGGAATGTTGGGAAATATGAAGAAACTTTATGCTGTTGCTGATGTATATACAGACCTAAGAGGTTGAAGGAATTGCTGGCATGTTTGGGCAAAATATTAAAACTCTTGAATAGTGTCTTTGGACCTAGGGTGTATGCTGTTATCAAAAACGTTTCCAGTTATTTCTAGTGAGCAGACATCCATCAGAGGAGAGAGGTGGAACAGAGTTAAATGTTGCCATCCCTTTCTGCTCATTCTGCTCAATCTTTAGCACTGAGAAGTATCTGGCACATAGTAGGCGGTCAGCAAATATTTGTTGAATGTAGAACAGTTGCACTGGGAGAAAGCTTTGCAGGAATTCCTCTGACTGCTATGTGAATTCTACGTTTTATAATTGAGGGCCCTTACTCTGAAGATGGACTTAGAGAGGGGAATGGATTAAATGTTACATGAAGAATATATTTTAATTTTTAAATTTATATGAATTAAGGCATGAAAGCCTTATAATTAAGACACATCTGAAACGAAAATGCTTATAGTGAATAATTATCTTTGGATGTTGAATCTTTGAATGATTTTAACTTTTCCATTGTATTTTCTATATTTTCAAAAGCGTCTATAATGAGCATATGTTGACTTTATAACAATTAAATTTTTTTTTTCTGAAGGCCACCAAATTTTCACCTGGAAGAGTTTTAGATCTCTGGTTCATTATGGAAGGTATAGGATTTCAATGACAGAACCTCGAACACCCCAGTGAGGTTATCAACACAATTTACATGTCTGCTTAAAACACCACTGTTTCTCCTGTAGAATAGGTTGGGGTTGGTACAAATTGTACTAGTTCACCTTGCATTATTTAAAAACTGAAATTTTTATAATCACAACGATTAGATCTCTGCATTCTTTTCCAGTTGGAAACAAGCCTCAAAACGTGGTCAAGAACAAAGCCTGTGACTGGAGTCCCGGCTGCATGCTGCAGGTGCCTGAGAACTCTGTGTGTTCCCAGCACAGAAGTACAAGGCTGAGTCTCCTGGTTGGGCTGCTGCAGTACGCAAGGAGACTTGTTGAACTTTTTCTGTAAATTTCCTGTCTTGTTTTCTATCCACTTCTGAATAAATCTGTTTTAGAAGAGTAGAGTCTTTCGCTGCTTTCTTCTCATACCAAGAGAAATAATTCAAAGCCCCATCTGTGTAACTCAGATGGTAGCAGCCGTTTCTCTCTCCCAGACATTCAGGATTGAAGGACTCTGCACCGTATTCTTTTTTTGGCCACTCACTACTGTTGAGACAACTAAGATGGGTTATTGAGACATTTTCAGAATTTGTTTTATTTTAAAGTATCTATAAGAAACTTAGGGAGAAGCAGAGGATCTTCTTCCATTGCCAGTCTCACAATGGCCCTTCCGGAAGCCGTAGTTTTGGCATCTATGACAAATCTTTGACAGACAAAAACATTAATAAGAAATATCTCTTTTCACCAGCTTCCTCGGAATTAAACCTAGTGAATAAAAGCATATGAATAAACATTTTAAGGTAAAATTCTATGGAGATAAAGGATTGAGAGAAGATAATGTAACACAAGTAAGAAGGGTGGTTCACTCAGCCTGATAGGCATCCAGCCATGTCATCTCTAGAAATAAAAGGAAATACAAGACCTGGAAATACAGGGTCCTATAATAATGCTACCCTTGACATAAGTATCAAAGTGTTCCTGAAACAATCTTATTGCTTCATGAGCCACTGAAGGTCTAGCTTCTTGAATTACTATTAATTTATATAAATTATTAATGTTGTTGTTATGTTAAAAAGGAATGCCTATCTTTTAGAGTACTCCATCCTGGACTTCTAACTCCACCCTCACCTTTAAGCTGCCCCTGCATCTCTGCAGCATGGAGAGGATCTCTCTCTATATATATATTGTTCATGCTTCTCCCTCAACAATAGATAGCTGTTGTTTGTTGTTTAGTGCGGACTAGGCTCATTGTGTGGGAAGGTGGTCTTCTCTGTTGTCTTGGTCCAGCTTCAATCTTAGAAGGGCCCATGTGTCCGGATCTGGGATTTAGGATTTTCTCAGTATTCGTGGCTCTCCTCCCACTGGAGCTCACTGCCATGCTTCTCTGTGGGTCTTGTGCAAGAGATTGTCTCCCATCCTCTTATTGGTAGCAGAATTATAATGGAATTGTTATAGGATCTTCAGCTGTCAATGGTTTCCTGTCCCTTACATAAAGGTAAAGGCCTTTTTCCTTGACTCTTCTCTCTGCTGCAATGGATCTTAACTGTGCCCTGGGCAGTGTGTGCATTTGTGTGTGTATGCATATATGTGACAGATTTTGCTGTCATCTCTTTATCCCCATCCCCAACAGCTCCAGGCTTTTCCTTCATGTGAGAAACTTATCTAGGCAAGATAGTTGGATTTTTGCTTTCCTGCAATCATAACCAATCATGACCTGCAGCTCTATATCTCTGATGGGGCTCCCTCTGCCACCCACTCTGTCCCCAATCACTGTTGTGAACATGCAGTGGAGGTCTGTGAAAATAGCCCTACTAGTGAGTGAAAATTCCTCTTGTGTCTGTTTGACTCCAAGCAGTTCTATATTGTTATGAGAGCCCTCATTCTATCTTTTAGATGATTTCTCTTTCTTGCTTGTATGGCAGCCAGCTTATCTTTTACCCATGCTCTGCCAAGGTTGTATCAGTCCATATGCCTGTCTCTTCTTGGAGAGGCCTGCTCCTCATTGGAATCCAGCCTACTTGGTTGCCCTGTGACCTCAGGTCTCTGATAGGTTAAAGCATAGTTATGATTTTGCTGTTTGTCCAGTTTTACAAGTTAAGGTGGAAGCAACAGTCTTTCATGCTTTATATATCATAGGAGGAATCGGAACTCTGTCTATCTTCTATTGCGTCTAAAATCAAACCAGAGGTATCAGGAATGCAGTATCTTTGTCAGCATTCTCTCTGAACCACAGGAAGAATTGTAAAACATATTATTGTAAATCACTGTTCATAACTGAAATACTTCAGTCCTAGTCAATCAGAGAAGGAGGGCACTGTTTTACCTTCTGCTCATTCTATTTCGACTTCTATTCTCTAAGCTTTTTTTTTAAAGTTGAGCTGATTTTACATTTTATTTTTAAGGGTCTCAAAGTAACTAGAGTCTTTCTTGGGTCTTTGCCAATGGAGGAACGGGCAAGCTCCTAAGGGCATCATTACTGATTCTGTGGCTTCAGCTAGGTTGTGAATCATGGGAGTAAATTTAGGCTCAATAAGGAGAAATCACAAGGAGCATTAGAAGGCTGAGGATTCAGATAATTGTAGCTTGTTCTAATCCAGATGGGTTCTCTTTGGGAACTTTAAAAATGGGTTTTGAAGATGGGATTATGGATATTATGAATATCCAGGGAACATCTTCCACATTGCTGTTCACCTTGGTCTTGATCCAAAGATCATGAGGAGAAGCATTTTGGAATACATATAAGGGAACTTGGACATAGACATTTCCGTTAAAGTAATGAGAAGCAACTGAAGGGTTTTACATAGGGCATATTTTTTTTTTCTTGAACAAAGAAAAGAATGACTAAACCAATGACACTAAGTATCCAACAAACATGGCAATCCTACTTGGAGTTCAGGTAGATAAAAT